ACTTCCATATCCTCTTCTATTTCATTTTCATTGCATTTAAAAGCCCTCTCAGAAATCAGCATCCCAAACTAGCTCTTCTTTTTATGGGTAAACTCTGTCACTAATAATGGAATTGAAGTCTACAGATTTTCCCCCAATATTAATGGGCTTACCCAAAGCAAAGCTGCTTTTAATTCTGGGGCACAGGTTCTTTCCCCATTTAATAACACTTATGTTCTTTTCTCCCAAATTTCTTCATGAAAACTGAATATTTTCTATTTATAAAAAATATTATATCTGATTTTTTCACTGGACATTTGAATTAAAAAAAATGTTTCGCAGAAAATGAAATGATGAAAACCCATGTGGGTTGCTGCTGCAGCATCATCATATGAATTACATTACATGCTAATGCTATGATGCTGCATTCTGGTGCAAATTTCCGTACCCGGCCGCTTTCACCATTATGAGTCGTTAATTAATGTTTTCCCAATTTTTAATTGACATTAAATTGACTAATTATCAACCATTATATAATTTTTGCTATAAATAAGCGGTTCATGAACGGCGACAAAATTTGAAAGATGTTGAATGACTCGAACCGAACCGGATGCTAGTTAAGATAAACATAATAATAATACACATTTTTTTGAAGAAAAACACAGTACACATTATTAGAGACGTTATGTTGGTAAACTGTGAGAGAGAGAGAGAGAGAGAGAGAGAGAGAGAGAGAGAGAGAGGTTATATTCTTTTGAGAACCTAAAATGTTAAAATAAAGCAAGATTGGACACTTTTTGATGACTGCCATCACTTGAGCCGTTTACCAATCCTTTCAGACAATCTTACATTTTTTTTTAAATCATAGCTAAATTTCAAAATATTAAATTAATTATTGTTAAGTTTTCAATAATTTTTTTTAAAAATAAGTTAAAAAAATTAATTTAAATAATTATAAATTTTAAAATTTCAATCATAAATAGATATTTAAATATTAAATATAATTATTATATTGTAAGAGCTATTGTTTAGATTGATATTTATAATTTATTTTTTTAAAATTTATCAAAAGCTTAATTATTATTAATTTAATATTTTAAGATTAACTATTATTCTTTATTCTTTTCTCCCTTTAAGGTAATCTCTTTATTTTTTATTACTTAACTGCATCCTCTTGTTTAAAATAATCATATTTTAAATATAGTTAGGTATTAAATATGGGTGACTTTTTCAATAAAAAATCGTTCAAACTTTAATCTATTATATCATGAGAAATTAGTTTTTTCTGTTAAACTCAACTTATAGATTTGTTTAGAGATCTTTTGTTCCTTTGGTTTTAACAAAATGCACCTGTATCGTTTTACCAAGGAAAAAAAAAAAAACCACCTGTATCAAGTGCTAGTAAGAAATGCTTTAAAAAAATTATATATATGGAAAATTAATCCAATGTTCAATAATTTTAGAGAAAATAGACGAGATACAGTAAATACGGAACATCTAACAAGGCTACCAATATAGAGATATATAAATATAGATAAATTTTCATTTCTCCCTCTAACAATATTCGGAAACAATTTTAATTTTTTTATAAGTAGTGTCATTATACAGTCAGTTTCTTGTGCAAACAGGGATTGTAGGAAGTTTCTTGCATTTTAAGAAAAACAGAGAATGTAGATCCGTGCACGTGCCGGTTCGGATTTAATAGTCGCAAAATTGTTGATGCCCTCATATTTAATTGCCACAAAATAGAAAAATATATCTGGCAATTTTTTATAATTTATACCGAAATTTTCATTTTCAAAATTATATTGTGTGTTATTAAAATTTTTGGCAACAAAAGTCTTTAAATATTTTTTAAATTATATTTATGTTTTTTTTTCCAAAATGTATATTTATGTTAAATTATATTTATTTATTTTTGAATACAAACTGAAACACTATATTAACAACAAAAAACTAAGCCATTATGAATTACATCAATTCTTTTTTTGAAATAAACAAGACAAGCTTAACAGCTTGGCAAAACAAAAGACAAAACAAACTAGGTTACCAGTAAGGTTGATTTGTTTAGAAACAAAAAGATTCAAACATTCTAATGACATTGAGGGAATAATAATCACTTCAAACCCTCTTTTATGGACATTCTTTGTAAGTTGGTCTGTACATCTAACTCCTTCACAATAAGTGTGAGTGATCTTGACATGAGGCATCTTTGACTAGATTTGTTTGATTTCTTTCATAGTGTCATTAAGTGTATGATGAAGTCTATCATCTTTAATCAGCAAATTCAACACACTTAAAGAATCAGCGAACACAGTGGCATCTTGCATATTATGTTCTCTAATAATAAGAAGAGCATTATATATTGCCATTAACTCTGTAGCTAAAGGATTCAAGATACCCAAGGTTTGTTTAAAACCCAATATCCAATCACCTCACTAGTCCCTTAATACTCCTCTAAAGGCTGCATGTCCTTCTATAGTTATAAACCCATCAACATCAAGCCGCAATTTGCCTTCTAGTGGTGGTATCCAGTATGTGTCCTCACAGCATCCTCTATTTAATAAAATTCTTCTTGAAATGGTGTAATTGTTGAGTAGAGATTCTTGATTGCTCAAAGACTCTTGCATCTGTTCTTCCAAAGGATCTAGCATACAAAGCTAAAAACTCTCTTCCAAGGCCAATTTGTAATTCCTCCACACCTAATATCCTATCCTTCTTGAGATTTCATCTAATCCAATCTTGCAAAGACAAAGAAGAAAATTTGTGCAAGTATAGTGGGTTAATTAAGAGAAGCCAAAAATGTTGAACAATGGTACATTCTCTCCAAATATGCATAATGGATTCTTCACTAGAGCACCCAAAAGGGAAGTTACCACTCTCACTCAAACCCCGAGTGACTTTTAGGTAGTTTGTTAGGAGTCTCCCATGGCTAGCTTGCCACAAGAAATTTTTGATTTTCTCTAGAACAGGTAGCTTCCAAATTATATTTCAAACAAAGTCTGGTCGGTGTTCTTGTGTTTTGGTTACAAACTCATAAGCTACATTCATTGTGAAAGCCCCCGCTTGTCCATTTCTCCAGCAAAACCGATCCAAATTCTCACTTATTGGTGGTCTAAATTGTTTAAGCTTCTCAATGATTTATGCTAGAAGGAATGGTTGCCAATTCAAGATCTTCCATTCATTATTCTCATTAATAAAATCCCTCACTTTTGCTCATGGATTTAACCTAGCCATATTATTATCAACATATGAGACTAGAGGTTGATCAAGACTTGACCATAGATCCCACCAAAAAGAAGTATTTCTTCCACTCTTGACTTTTTACCCCAATCCTTTCAAGAATACATCCTAGACTTGTGTGATACTTCTCCAAGTGTTCGACATATTCTTCTTTGTGTAAGTGTTAGGAATTTTCGTTCCTTCACATTTGCATTTGGCTTGCAAGCTTTGTACCCATAACGCATTCAGTTTAGTTACAAGTCCCCAATAGAGCTTCAACATAAAAGCAATGTTTTGCTATCTCAAGTCTTTAAAACCCAACCTACCATACTTATTGGATTTTTTCACAGCGCTCCATGATATTAGATGGAGCTTTTTTCTGATCCAAGTGTTCATTCCATAAAAATAGATCTACTTAGCTTTTCAACTTCATATAGAATACCTTTAGGTAGCAACATGGATTGCATAATATAACTATGAATAGCTAAAATAATAGATTTGATAAGGATTGAGCGATCTGCCATGTTAAGATATCAGCCTTTCCACCTTGATAACTTACTTTGTATCTTTGAGATCATAGGAGCAAAAGTTGCTTTGGTTACCCTCTTGTGGAGAAGTGGCACCTCAAGGTATGTTTCTTGATTTGGAGTTATTCCAATCCCTCAAATGTTATTGAACTCCAAAGCCCTATGGATATTGACATTAGCAGACACAAACATATTTGTTTTGGTGAGATTAATTCGGTGCCTCAAAGTTTTATAGGACAATTCCATGACTTTTTTGGCTTCTTCCATTTGTGAGACACTTGCTTCAATAAAAAAAATGAAAATAAATTGTCAGCAAAGAAGAGATGAGAGCTTAGAGGATCCCTTGTCTTAAGCCCCTTGTTGGTTTGAAAGACCGTGTCTCTTCCCCATTCCAGAGAACCTTCATTTCAGCAGTGCTAATACTAGCCATAATTAATTCCATAAAATGAGGATTAAAGTTGAGAGAAGATAAAATTTCTTCTACAAAAGTCCACTCCAAGCAATCATATGCTTTCTCCACGTCTATTTTAATTGTCACATACCCTCTACTCTTTCTTTTGGACCTCATGGTATGGAGCTAGTATAATATTGTCGCAATTCCATACAAGAAGTGGGGATGATTAAAAGTGCAAAAAATATAATCAAAAGCTTGAAAAAAATTAAGCAAGTCAATATGCACATTGATTTGCTTCAAAATTACATTTATTGATAATTAAATGGATGGATTTCACATATAAATATGGTCACAAAATGATATAAATAGTAATTAGAAAGTAATATCAAACTTGCTTCAGTGAAGTTGTCACTAAGTTATTGATCAAAGATATGTTATAAGAAGCCTAGCTTTCCAAAAACTTGTATCTCTTTTTGACCAAGTATCAAAGTTACATCATATTACGGCGTTATCTTTGATGACAGAGTTCATTTGATATGTTACCAAAATACGAAACCGTTAAATACAGATTAACATCCAAGACAACCTCTCTTAACTTTTCATTAATTTGTTCGTTTTTTCTAAAAAGGTTCGCTGATAGCTGATATTTGTATATCGCCTCGTTAAATTGTTGACATCTCAAAGGCAAAGATTTGCTTTTTGCCAACTGTCCACTAGCAAAAAGATTTCCTGATACTGATGCAATAGTACCGTCTCTCTGAATTAAAATGGTGGAGGATTGATTAGGGTTCAGTCAGCACTCAGCATTGATCAGCACGCAAGAAATGAAGCTCATTTAATACTATACAACTCCCTCACTCCGTGTTATTGAACCCCAAAGAAAGCTGAAGTGTCAGTTTTGGCGTGCATAGCTGAGCAACGTGCTGAGTGAGTGCATTGATGATGATGAACTCCCAAAATTGAACCATATGCTTCTATCTTTCTCGCGATTTTAAAAGACCAAGTTTATTGGGAAAGTGTATAGCTGGAAGGAACAGGAAAGAGAGCCTCCCTCATACAGCCATTTCATTTCCTAACAGTTGGGCATTTCGTGTGCTCTCAGTCCTGAAAACTTACAGTTTCTGTTCATATTCTCTGATGGGCTGTGCTGGGTTTCCTTAAGATTTTGTTTTGGTTTCTGTCACGTGGTTTTGCGAAAAACCCTTTGGTGGGTCAGTTTTGGTGCTCCTGATTCGATAAAACACTCACTGGCATGCACAGCAACAATTGCAGTTGTGTCCCTGTTCTACTGAACTTCTAGTGTAAGATCTCGGTCTCATTTTTTCTCTCTTTTCATTAGTTTTCTTTCGTCTTCTGTCTTTTGATAGTATGGTTGCTTCAGCTCTAATAAGACACAAGGGGATCACATTCTCTCCTCTCTCTCTCTCACCCTCCTGCCCTGGCCTGCACGGCTCTTTTTTTTTTTTTTTTTTCGGAGTGTGTGGTGGGTGCTACAATGCATTCAGTTGCTTATTTCTTCATCAGCTTGAAAAATGGGTTCTGAGATTATATGTCGGGAATGATGCGGAGAGTGACCTTTGGGACTTGTAAGGCATATTGCTTCATGTGGGGTTGAGAGATTCATCCCTATCAGGCATGATCAGGCATAAAGTCATGATCTTGCTTCATTATTTTACTAGATTTCTGCGATATATTCTGGTAGATTCCTCAGATTTCAGCTCAAGTTTGTTTATAATAACATTGCAAGTAGTCCATGTTTCGTTATTTATTACTATAAAAATGACCCCATGTTCCTGATCTTCTTCACACAACCCATACCTTCGCAAAAGATGCTTGTTGTCTACTGTTTTGGTGGGTTATTCAACTGATACCGAGATGCTGTTTTCCGTTGCAGGTTTTCAAACTTCAACGGTAAAAGAAAAGGAGAGTAGAAAAAGGAGAGAGACAAGGGATTATACCATTCATATTAGATAATTCTGTGTTGGGAGCTTTAAAGCCATTGCTTTTAAAAAAGGAGGGGAAACATGGAACAGATAACTCAGAGAGTGAAATATAAAGAAATATGGGGAAGTGAGGTGGAGTCAGATTTGTGATTGTGGTTGTCTCTGTTTTGAGAATTATTTAGTGCTCTTACTCTGCTGGCGATGTCCCCTGAGCTGATTTGGTGAGCCCGGACTCCTTGGGCTTTGCCGACGACCAAGGAAACAAGCCCTAGTTTTGAGTCTTTTTCCGTCCAAGAGAACCTTTGCTTAAAAAATTGGGCAATCTGATCTCATCTCTCCTTCTCTCTCCCTCTCTCTCTCTCTGATTCAGTTTGTGCCTTGTTCGCTGTCAAGATTCGGTCACACTCCAAATTGTTGATCCTTAAAGCTAAGAAACTTTGATTCATTCAATGAGTTGATTGGTCCCCACTGGTGGGGTTGTCTTTTCCCTTTCTTGGGAATTTTTCATTGACCTCAGGCTACTATGTGTGGTTCACTAGGGATGTTTGGCGATGCCTTATTGGACTTAGCAATTAGTTATTGAGTTCTGGGGAAGTCTTTTCTTGTTTGGAGTGTCATAGAGAGGAAGCAGATCTTGTATTGTCAAGATGAAGTTCATGAAACTTGGTTCCAAGCCAGACACCTTTCAGACTGACAACAATGTTAGGTGAGATTACACAGGTTCTTTTAAAGGCGTTGTTGTTTCCGTCACAAGAAGGGGGGGGGGGGCGTTGTTTCGTACTAGATTGTTGATTTTACAGCTGTAAATTATGTGCATTGTTTCTTTCCTCCATTTTCTTCATTGCAAGTGCTTTCTCAGTTGTGGAATCTGCTTTTTTTGTGATCAAGCAAAAGCTTTCTAGTATTAACATTTTATTTATTTGAAAGTTACTGTTTTTACATGTCCGCAATGTGAAAGAACATCAGATCATCCTTCATGTTCTATTTAACAAATTTGGAGTCTGGGCTTTTGTTGATGCCATCTGCAGCCATGGAAAGTAATTGATTTCTTGTACATCTAAGGGCAAGTATTGGCAGTGTCATTTTTGAGTTACATTTTTCCAATAATCACAAGATAGGGATGCTAATGCTTGCAAGCAGGAAATGTAATAACTGAGTGAAGTCTCGCTTACTTTTTGATACTTGATGAAATTGTGTAGCCAAATATTATTATTCTGTCAAGTCGAAAATTATTAGTATGGGCAACATACTGATGGAGGCTCTAATGCGTTTTGCTGCAAGTTCATATCCAGTAAGTTTTAATAAATACAAATGAGTATATCTTTTTAAAAGGGAGTGTGGTTAAACCATATCAACATTAGCTGCTCATCTATAGGCGATAGTCAAAGACGTCAGGTGCTTATGCTTCCATCATTTAACAATTAATAATTATTACTTGGTCAAAAACTTATTGGAAAGTATATCTATGCAGGAATTGGCAGGATAGGCATGATTTAGCTTGGTTGTAGATGCTCAAGTTCTTTCTCTTTGATCCACTTAGCAAACTTTTTTCTTGCTCTCTTCAATGTGTAAATGTTAGTTTTAAAATTCACTGTGTAAAGAGTTCTTTAAAGGATCCATTACATGTGCAGGTATGTAGCAAATGAGCTGGCAGCAGATATCATTGTTAATGTTGGGGATATAAAGTTCTATTTACATAAGGTATGCCTCAAAACAGTAATCTTTCTACTAGGCTTGAGATATTCTACATTAGCTTTTAGCAGTTTCTTGCCTTTAGGACCCAACACCTAAAAAACATTGATTGAAGTTGAATCATTTTATTTACAAATGAACATGTAAATCATTCTTTCATCTTCCGCTGTTAATGAACTCATTACTCTTGTGTGCAGTTTCCTCTTCTATCCAAGAGTTCTCGCTTGCAGAAGTTGATCACTGCAACTAATGAAGAAGAAAACAGAGATGAAGTTCAAATTTCTGACATTCCTGGGGGGGCTTCTGCCTTTGAGATATGTGCCAAGTTTTGCTATGGTATGATTGTTACCCTGAATGCTTACAATGTGGTTTCAGCTCGATGTGCAGCTGAGTACCTTGGAATGCATGAAACTGTTGATAAAGGGAACCTTATCTACAAGATTGATGTTTTCCTTAGCTCTAGCATTTTACTTAGTTGGAAAGACTCAATCATTGTTCTTCAGACATGCAAGTCTATTTCACCCTTGACTGAAGACCTAAAAGTGGTCAATCGATGCATTGAATCTATAGCAAATAAGGCATGCGTTGATGTATCTAGGGTTGACTGGTCCTATACCTATAACCGAAAGAAGCTTCTAGAGGAAAATGGGATCGATCAAAACCAGAATGGTGTCAGAGCTCGGTCGGTTCCCAAAGACTGGTGGGTTGAGGACTTATGTGAGCTTGAAGTTGATTTATTTAAGTCAGTAATTACTAATATCAAAACCAAGGCAATTCTTGCTGCTGAAGTTATAGGAGAAGCTCTCAAAGCTTATGCTTATAGAAGATTGCCAAATTTCAGCAAGGGTATCAGCCAATGTGGGGATATGTCGAAGCATCATTTGATCGTTGAAACAATTGTATGGTTATTGCCAACTGAGAAAGGCTGTGTTTCTTGTAGATTCTTAGTCAAGTTATTGAAAGCTGCCATTACTGTGGAGTCAGGAGATATGACCATAGAAGAGTTGGTGAAGAGAATAGGACAGCAATTGGAAGAGGTTTCTGTAAGCGATATTTTGATACTAGCCCCAGATGGCGATGCTAACGCCATTTATGATGTTAACATAGTAAAGAAAATTGTAAAGGAGTATTTGATCCAGGATAACAATACTGAAATTGAGTCCGTTGGCGGCGATGGTGAACTTGAGGGGACAAGAAAGCCTGCTGGGATCTTATCAGATGCTTCCAAGCTAATGGTCGCAAAGCTCATAGATGGATACCTTGCTGAAATCGCAAAGGATCCCAATTTGCCTTTGTCTCAGTTTGTTGATCTTGCTGAGTTGGTATCCAGCATTCCCCGTCCAGCTCATGATGGGCTTTACAGGGCCATTGATATGTATCTTAAGGTAATTACTGTTCCTGAAAAGATTTATTCTTTGGCTTGGATTGTATGACATGATGAATTTGGTAGACTAGATCCTATATTTGTCGTTCCAATTGGTGTGAGATTTGAAATCCATGCCAAATTTCTGTAATATTATGCCTAGCAGCTCTTCCTTCCTAGATGATTATACCTCTTTGGGGGCCAGTCCTGGGCTAAATCCAGTAAGCCACCATTTAGGTATAACATCACATAGGAAGCACTAAAATGGTCCAAGCCAAGGCATGCCAATGGTGAGATATTACATTGGCTTTGCTACATGGACTTGAGTTTAAGCCTAATGGCTCGAATTTTTGGCTTGGACCAAAAACATTCATTGGCATGCCTTGCCCACGGACAAATCCATTGATGACAGATAACATTTCTTAGAAATCTGTATGACTGATTTTATGTGAAGGTAACTGATCAATTCTGCCTATTTTAAGGTTCATCCCGGGATTGGGAAAGGCGAGAGGAAGAGGATATGCAAGTTGATGGACTGCAAAAAGTTATCAGCTGAAGCTTGCATGCATGCCGTGCAAAACGAGAGGCTGCCATTGCGAGTAGTGGTGCAAGTGCTCTATTTCGAGCAGGTTAGGACTGCTGCATTGTCTGGCGCCAGCACTCCTGACGGAAACAGAGGAGGAGGAATGAAGGATCTCAACAATGGTGGTTCTCATGGCAGCTCAAGATCAGGAACAACTGCGAACACAGAAGATGACTCGGTGGATGGTTTGGGCACAGCAGAGGAGCTGAAGGCATTAAGGAAGGAACTTGCATCCTTGAGGATGAGCAGTGAGAAAGATACTGGAGATGAGAATAACAAGGCTAACTCAGATAAGGCTGTGATTTCAAAGATGAAGGGTCTGCTAAAGTCGAAAAGATCATTCATGAAGGCATGGGCTAGCAAAGGAGGAGGAGGAGGAGAAAATAGTGGATCAGACTCATCAGAGAGTATTGGTTCTGCTAACCCAGAAGAAACTAAATCCACACCTTCAAGAAATAGGAGGTATTCAGTTTCCTAAAGTGGTTTGACTCTCTTTTTCTGGTTTCTCTCTTTTAACATGGAAAGAACTGAGGTACATATAGTTCGAAGAGCACAGATCAGTTGAAGTATTGTTTCAAGTAAAAATGAAACCACTTGAAGTGACTTCAAATGATCCAGATTGATAGTTCAGAAGAGTACGGGTATTTTGAAGAATGGAGATGTAATCCTTTGGCATTTATTTTATATCCCTACCCATAATAGGAGCAATAGTTAGTCAGCATTGTCATGAAAACATCAAACTAGCTATTCACTTGTTCTTGATGATTCTCTGCGGTTTACAAATTATAGGTAGATCAAGTTATTAGTACTGGTGATTTTATACATGGTGGGTCCGTTATATTAAAATAATCACTCGTGATTCTCTCTTCTTGGAGACTGAAGAGGTATAATATATAATATAATTATCATATTATGAAAATTTTGGTCAACCTACTTGGTTGAACTGGTAAATTAGTATTTTAATCGGGTTAATAAAATATTATTTATGATCCATTTGATCACGGTTTGATTATAGTTTTGACCATTTAGTTTTGAAACAGTATTTTAATTGATTCAATGATTAGTTTAGTTTTTATTACCTTGACAATTATTATACATGACCAATAATTATTAATATATTTTAAGAGTTCTTGTATCAAATCTCATGAATTTTTTTTTTCCTTGTTTTATTTTAAGCACATTGATATAAGAAAGCCTGTTTGATTTATTTGTTGTACATCGTTTGTTTTTTGTTTTTTGTCAGTTACTTTCAGGGTGCATGTGTATGGTTAACAATATTAGTATATTAACCTGGTTTATTTTCTTATTTTTGCTTCTAAAATTAATTTGTCATTTTCTCGAAATAATATAAACACTAGTGGTCTTACAATGCTGTTATTGTGTACCCGTGACAAGAGGCAATAAATATGAGAGCCCTCAAATAGCAAGATGACGAAACAAAATATTGGAAAATGACAAGCAAGGTTCTTGTTAGGTCATTAATCCTAATTGTAAATATTAATTTTGAAATTTTTTAAGAGATTATTGGTTTTCACAAATGGTGTTTCTGAAATTTACAGTTGATTACTCATGCGATTTCAATAATGTCACTCACAATTTGTGAAATTAATTTAAACTTTTTTTCTCTCCCACAACTAGACTTCTGAAGGCTGAAATCTCAGAATTGGGAATGAGATTGAAAGACCAATAGGACAATACCATTCTCAAGTAGGCTATCTACCTTATTCAATTGATTTACTCGGAATTTATAACTAACTGTGAGCGATTTCAGTATATTCTTTGAAACTTGCGGAATTAATTTGAGCGCTCTCTCTCTCTCTCTCTCTCTCTCTCTCTCTCTCTCTCTCTCTCTCACCACACAATTTGACAACTAAAATTGTATTGAATCATTTGTGAATTCTAAATAAACCACTTATATAAAAAAATTCCCTCCGTCCTTATATAAAAAAAATTTTCTAGAACTTTTTTTTTATCTCTAAATATAAGAAATTGTTAGCATATTTTTTAATGAATGGACTATTATATCTTTATTAAATTAAAAGAAAAAAAAATAAGTGCTTTTATTAATTTATTTTGAAAAAAGAGATTCATTTTTTATTTATAATAATTAAGAGCAAAATTGAAATATTATTATTCTTTTAATTAAATAATTAATTTTTATTAATTTGTGTAATTCAATTAAAAATATCATATATATATATATATATATATATAAGAACGGAGGAAGTAGGTATCAGGCTTGTGAATGTGGTTGTCTTTTCATTTTCCTTTAATGAAATTTCAATAATGAGTGGTTTATAATTACAATTTGAAACTCCAAAAAAAAAAAAAAACACGCGCACACACACAAAGCATGCTATGGTTTGTTGTATCATACTTTCTCTATTTTTATATATAAAATATTTTTAATTAAATTTTACAAACCAATAAAAATTTATTATTTTCTCCATCTTAAATTATAAGACACTTTTGAAGGAGTTTCTCTATTCTAAGATATAAGACACTTTAAGTAGATTAATGTTTTATTAAATGTACCAATTTTTATATTATCCTTTTTCTCTCTATAATTTTTCTCTTTTCTCTTTTTAATATATTAAATTATGGGCATTTTTGAAAGTCTATATTTTTGTTTGGGAAAGATAAGGTTAAGTGTATTTAATGAGATTTATTAGTATGTAAAATTTTATCTAAAAATATTTTATAATTTAGGACGGAGAAAGTATTTAGTTGAAAAGCACATAAAATGAAAAAAAAAATCATAACAATGTCAATTTTCCAGTTGTGTCTCTAATTATGTCACAATTGATATGATATTGATAGATAAAACACATAATTAATATTCCCTCCATTCTTATTTATAAGGTAGAGAGAAAATTTTTGTGTCCTATTTATAAGTCATTTAATTAAATTTTCATCACAAATTTTTTCTTTTACCTTTCATTGAATATTGGAGAGATAAAATATATTGTTAATATATATATATATATATATATATTTAATAGGGGTAAAGTTAATAATATATTAAATTTTTAGATAGAGTTAATTAGTTTCAAGGTTTTTATTTTTAGTGAAATATGTTGAAAGTAACTTATAAATAAAACAAGAGAAACATTGATTTCCCTTTTCAAGACAATGAGGACAAAATTGTTTAATTTCTCAAAATTATTATGACACCTCTTATATTTAGGATAAAACAAACTTTTAGAAAATATCCTCTATATATTCTTCTCATCTTATTTATAAATCACTTCTAACATATTTTACCAATATCAAATAAAACTTTAAAACTTATTAATTCTGTTTTAAAATTTAATAAATTCTCAACTTTGCCCATTTAAATATACATATTTTAATAATATATTTTCTCTCTCCAACATTTAATAGAGGGTAAAAAAAAAATTTATGACAAAAATTTAATAACATAACTTATAAATAAAATTAAAAAAATTCTTATTTCTCTATTTTATAAATAGAACCAAAGCCAATCTATAGAGATAAATAGAATACTATTGTTAGCATATTTAAGATTAAGAACATCAAATTCATTGAACTCTCTAAAAGACACATAATTGTGATGCGGCAGCTAGTTTAATTAAACTCTAAATTTATTAGCAACAAAACCAATCATTAATTAGCGGCTAAGGAAGTAATAGTATTAATTATGAAGAAAAAAACTTCGGAATTTTCTACACTTTGTTTCTGTCAAAGGAGGGTCAGCTGCATTGGTGCTGTTGAGGAATCAAAACGCATACGTGTACTAACAACCACATAATATAAAGTCAATTCAATTCAAACGTTTATTTCAAAGCCATCTCTATAATCAGACCATCAACTAATAGTTTATTAATCCTTCAATTAATCTATATTATCATTGTTATTTTGATTGTTTTAAATTTCATAATTATTAAAAAATAAACATTTTTAAAGAAATTGAAAGGGTCTATAGCTTTGTAACTTGTTTAATATTAATAACTATATCGCTATCATCAATGAAAGAATAAAAGATTGTTCCAACTTAACCAATAATCTTAAATTAGAGTTTTGAAAATGTTGTAGCATCAAAATTCTGCAATAGAGCTTGTTGCCTAGTCAATGCTTAATCCTGATTAGTCTTGGCCCATGTTAGGTCTCTTCAACTTGATGACCGATGCAAGACAAGTCTAGGATATCAAGTGTGCAAGCAATAAAAAATAATTATATTGCTATTTCCAACTACAAGCACTTTTTATTCAAAATTATAAGACAATTTTAAGAAGATTTTATTGTCCCAAAATATAAAAAAATTTAAAAAATAAAATTTAATTAATGATACTTTTTTAATATTACTTTTCAAGATAATTGAAATGATATTGTAGCATATTTACTAAATGTATAAGGACATTTTTAAAATTTTATAATTTTATTTTGAAAAAAAATAAGTTGGAAAAGTATGGCTAATCTTATTTTAAATTATCTTATTATTTGGGATGAGGGAGTATTCACTTAATTGGCACGATTTTTTATGGGTGAGTAGAAGGAACTTGGTTTTCATTGAGAAAATTTTGAGGCAAACTTTGTGAATGGGAAAAAAACATGTCATTGCACTACCTTTAATTTGGTCCCATAATATTTAAATATAATATAATAAAACATATTATAAATTATTGTATAAAAAGTTATAATATTAAATTGGGTTAATGAACATTCTAAATTTTAAAGTATTGTATAAAAAATGCCCTAAATCTTAAACTCTTAAAATATACAAAATGAACTCTAAACTTTTAAATTAATAGCAAATAAACCCCACTGTTAACTCACCATTACGTTGTTATTGTTCACTCAATGGGGTCCAATCAAAATACTGATATGGTAGTCCCTTGTTAATGTATCATTTTTAATTAGCATCACAGACTTTAAATTATTGCATGAGTAGCATCTTGGATCTTGAACTTCAAAATTCAGAGCAAATGACCCCCACTGTTTATGTGTAAAACACTGACTATTATGTAGATCAAATTAGCCTTAGTGTAATCTATTGTAGTGCCAGTGAATACATCATTAACAATGGTGAATAACCCATAATTTTGTGAAATAACATTTTTCACCCCTTTTTTGTAATATTTTTTAAGCGATTGATATCTCATGCTTTCATATACTCTATAACTCTAATTGATCTTATTTTGAATAATGTTTATTTATTTAATGATGAAAACTTAGGATCTCATTTGAAATGAAGTTTAAGTATCAGAGAATTTTACAAACGATGGATGCGAAAGATGGCAATTTTATCAATAGACTTTAAACACAAATTAACTAGTTAATTAAAATATTAAACTTCTTTTCAAATGGGATCTTAAGTTTTTATCATTAAATAAATAAAAATTATTTAAAATAAAATTAAATTAGAGTTATAGAGTATACGGAAGCATGAGATACTAATCATTTGAAAAACAATGTAAAAAAAAGGACAAAAAATGTCATTTCACAAAATGATGGTATGTTTACCGTGGCTAACGATGCATTCACTATGTCAGACCAATTAAGGTTAATTTAGTCTATATAATAGTTAGCATTCTACACATAAATGATAGGGATAGTTTGCTCTGAATTTTAAAGTTCAAGATCTAAAATGCTACTTGTATAATAGTGTAGTATCTGTGGTGCTAATTAAAAATGATATATCAATAAGGGATTGCCACATCATCATGTTAACTGGGCCCCACTAAGTGAATGGTAATAGTCTTAATGGTGAGCTAACGATAGGGTTTAATTTACTATTGATTTAAAAATTTAGGGTCTTGCATATTTTACTAGTTTAAGATTTAGGATATTTTTCACATAATACTTTAAGATCCAGAATACTTATTAATCCTATTAAATTCATAGGTTTACATGTGAAAACTATTGCTTAATTCTAATAGCATGCTCTTCTAAAGTCAGAAAGAAAATACTTCAAGCTAATTAATAATTGTACAAGGTCAAAATCCTCAGTTTTCATTTTTGGTAAAAAAAATCCTCATATTTGTTTTGACCCAACCAAAATCCTCACTCAAAAATTTAAAATTAAGAGGATAAAAAACTTATATACTTAGTTTTTTATGATTAATTTGAATTTTTTAATTAAATCAAGATATGTAAATTTTTTATAGATTATTTATTCTATGATAAATTTTTTTATTAATTTTATTAATGCATTAATATCCACTTATCATAATTTGATTGGATATAAGTATATTAAGTTTATAAGACCAAGTACATAATTTTTGGCCTAATTTTAATACCTACAATTAATTAATTACAATTAATTAATTAATCTCAATCAATATAATTACTATAAATTCTAAAATTTGTAATAAGTCACCTTAGTTAAAACATTGATTAACAAGTAAAAATAAATATTGAATTTATAAAAAAATTTGAAAAAAAAATGATAAATGCTTTTTGAAATTTGTAATTTTACTTATAAATAAAAAAAACATATGGAACTTTTTCTTATATTTGAAAACTGATGAAGTACTCTATAAGGCTGAAAAAAGAAGACGACATTTTTAGTTTTTTTAATGTGTAATTAATGATATTTTATTTAAAAAATAATCATGATAAATAAACTATTCAATTTTCATCTTTAAATAAGACCCTATTAAATAAGAATAAAAATTAAAATATAGTACCAGTATCATTTTAAAGGCAATTAATTAACTTCTTAAGGAGTACATATAACTTGCTTTAAAATGCCATATATATATATATATATATATATTATGGATGAAGTAATAAATTTTCAACTCTACCCATATATTAATAAATTGTTTTCACACACTAATATCTAACAAGAGCTTAACTGAAAATTTTGTAAAAAAACTTAATAATATAATTTACTCCATCTATTAAAAATGTAAGGTATTTTTTAAAGGGTTTGATATTAAAAATGTAAGGTACTTTTAATCTTTCAAGGTGTAATTATTGCTATTTTTTTAAAAGTATTCCTATTAAATAAATTACATTATATTTATTTTACGGTGAAAGACACAATTAAATATGGATAAATGTGAAAAATTATAGTTATTTTGAAGACAAATAACTATTTTATTTGAGTGAATTTGATTAAAATATCTTACATTTTTAAATGAATAGAGTATAAATTAGACAAATAAAATTCCTCCTTATGCAGGAGGACGCAAATGTATGGTGGTGGAGTATTATTATTATTATTATTATTGTTATTATTATTATGGGGGCTAAAGTATATTTTTGATCTTCTAACTTTATAGGTTTTAATTTGATCCTTTAATTTTATAAAGTATTTTTTTAATCCTTCAACCCTAATATCATTAGTTTCAAATAATTATTTTTTATGTCAATCATTATCCTTTTGAAAAACTTAAACTCAATATTTCAACTTTTAAGAATATTTTGTCAATATTTAAAAGTTTAATGTAAAAATTTATTAGAATAAAACTAATAATATTAGAATTAAATAATTAAAAAGACACGTTATAAAGTTAAGAGATTAAAATAAAATATTTTATAAAATTAAAAGATTAAATATATACTTTAACCTTATTTTGGGTGAACGAGTATCTCAATTTTTAGCCACACAATGGAGAGGCACAAAATGCCGAACTATGAGCTGTAATAAAAGTTTTGACCTATTACTGGATTCCCACGTTCCACGAACACTCCTATTTTTGTTGGATTATACGCTAAACATTGTAATTTAATAATTTCTGTTTTGTTGAGAATGTAATTAGTTGAGTCGATTATTGGATAGAGATGCCACGTATCCAACTTAATGGCTACAACTTCTATGTTTGGTTGTCTCATTACAATCCATCGCCATCTTCCTCTGTTCTCATCCTCATCGACGTCCGCTCTCCTTTTTAAACCAATCCTTTACCTCAAATTCCATGTTTTTACAGTTGTCTTTACAATCTGCTCTTGTCTCCTTTTGAAACTTTTATTTTGTATAATTTATTTTTTTAAAAAAAATGATGTATTGCGATATCTACCAATGTTCTCCCTCCAGTCTTTTTTTAATAAAAAAATACACAACTAATTCATCAAGACTAAGAAATATATTAAACTTGATGATTAGAATCTACGAAAATGTTAGAGATATAAATTTATTTTCGAAAATATATTCGTGGACTCCGATGACAACTTTTCTAATTGCATGAGAAAATTGTGTACATTGTGATTGCAATTCTCTTCTCCAGTGAAGGTATAAATAAATATTTTAATAAACACATCAAATAAAAGGTTTTTTTGTTTTTCATAAATAGGACTATCAAAATTATCTTACAAAAAGGATGAGATTTAGAGGTGGTAATTATATTGGAGCACAATAACTTAAAATGATAAAAATTAGTATATTTTATTCTGGCCATTACTTTTAGGGTAAATTTTGGTATGGGGATGTAGGAGCTTTATTTAAAAAATGCCTAACTTTTTACTTGCTTGCATATACTCCCATCGGTTTTTATTTGTAGAAAAAATTATCACTTTTTACTTATTTTTTAATATAAATAAAATTATTTATTTTAATAAATATTTATTATATATTTTTTAAATCACCTCTCATAATTTAGATTAATAAAAAATAATTAATAAATGCTCATATTGATTAACATAATGTATTTTAATGCAATTTTTTTATTTTTACATATAATTATTATGATAAATTAATTTTGTTAAGTTGTGTGATATAATTTTTTTATATATATAAAAATGGAGGGAGTGCTTTGAAGAGAACCATTTTTCTAGTTCCGCTGTTATTAACCAAAATCGATGTCATAAAAAAATAGTATTGAATTGCAAGAGAGACTTTGCAAGGCATAGGAGGCAGTCAACAACATGATGATTTGGATAATGAAGGAAATTAGATTAATTATCTGAAGAGAACCAAGGCTTACGGGGTTGCGGAGAACCAGAGCCGCTATCACCCATTTCTTTGGAAGCAGCCAGCCAAATACTTCCTGCCTTAGCCACCTTAACCTTTTATCTTCTTTTTACTTAACACCGGCTAACCTTTCTCTTCCTCGATAATTATTATGACTATGCCACTCTCTCTCTCTCTCTCTCTATATATGTGTGTGTGTGTGTGTGTGTGTGTGTAGCATTGTTGCTTCGTCTTCAAAATTCCTTGTGTTCACTTGAAGTGTGTGATTACTGATTAGGCAGCCCTAATTTAATTAGCTAGGGTTTTATTATATATTGCGGATCTTTGAGGATCGGAGAAGATGAGTTGCAGCGGTTGTCGAGTTCTCCGAAAAGGTTGCAGCGACGAGTGCATGCTCCGGCATTGCCTTCAGGGGATCCAGAACCCTCAAGCCCAAGCCCACGCCACCGTCTTCGTCGCCAAGTTCTTCGGCCGTGCCGGCCTCATGTCTTTCGTCTCCGCCGTCCCCCGCTCCCAAAGACCCTGTAACCTCTCTTCTCTCCTTCATATTCTATCATATAACGTGCCTGCGTGCGCGCATGCATGCAAGTACATAGTGCATCCAATTTATATAGAACTTTGTTGTAGAGGCGGCTTTAAATGTGATCTGATTATACCTGATTTATGATTTAACGGTTTTCGGTGATGGCAGACTTGTTTCAGTCGTTATTGTATGAAGCGGTAGGACGTACCATAAACCCAGTGAATGGGGCAGTGGGGCTTCTCTGGACAGGGAACTGGCATCTCTGTCAGTTGGCGGTGGAGACGGTGCTCCTTGGCGGCGCGTTGAACCCACTGTCTTCAGATTTCACCATTGACGGCCGCAGCGGTAGAGGTTCAGTTCAGGCGGAAGATGAGAGTTTTGGGTCTGCCGTGAACAGTTTTGATAATCCGAGGGACATTATTATAGGTGAAAGATCTTCGACGTCAAGGATGTTCAAGGGAAAGGTAATCAGTGGTGCTAATATTGATGGGGTGGAGAATTTTCAGGCACGTGATCAGGGGATGCCGGAGAGAGCGAAGAAGCACCGAGCGGCGACGCCGTCCACGGAGGTGTCTGAAACGACCGCCTTTGGGAGTAGACTACAGGGCAGTACCGAAAGGAGACTCCTTAGACTATTCTACTGATAAATTTTAAGTCAAAGACAGAACAGGGGATTCAATATTTTGAATCAGAGGGATTACATTAAAAAAGAAAAAAAAGGCATAGTATAGTTGAGTGAATAATAATAAAAATAAAACTTTTGAGGGGTAATGCTGAATACTGATTCAGTTGTTTGAGGCTATGTAGGCAATATTGCTCTTTTATGCTCTTTTATGCATGTAGCCAATGGAACATAGGAAAGTAGTCTCTCTCTCTCTCTCTATAGATATATATATATATATATATTATATCTATCTATCTATCTACATGAGTTTAATCCAGGACCTTCTATGCTATAAAATTGAATCAAGATATTTATCTTTAATAATATTGAATGAATTCTGATGAGATGCGTGTGATGAACAAATGTCTAAACCTTTCCCTTTCACTTCATATGTGATATGCGCACTTTTTAAGGTCAGAATAGCGTTGGCCTCTGATTGTAATTGGCCAATTGCTGAGAAATATTTATATAGATTCAGCCTTTCAGGGTAAAAAAAATAAATAATAAGGATCATTTTAAAAAAAAGATACGGTGGAAAAAGAAATATCACAAAAAACCTATGAAAAATGTGAGATATATAATCAAAAAATACACGTAACGTACATATAAACTTTTATATTTGATTTGATTTATTCATGATAAATCAATTTATGCAAAGAAATATTTATATTTCTTTCTTTTTTACAATCAATCAATTAAAGAATTACCTGTATTATACATAGTAAAATCCAATATACTTATGTTATAAAAAAAATCCAACATACTTAATTTATTATAATTATAAACACGAGCTGTATTTTGAGAAAATTTCCAGAGATGTCACAGGAAAATATCATTTGTTTGGTACATGATGAGATAACAAAAAAACAAAAAAGTCCAAATCGTCAAGAACAACACGAGATTCTGCGCCCGTCTATTGCTTGTGAACAAAGTTTGTTTGGCGTAAAAGATTCAGATAACGTGTTCATTGATTTAAAAGCAACGTGTTTTTGTGTGCCTTACATTAACACGACTTCATTTATTCTATTACCAGTCTAAGATGCTTATTTCATTTGCATTTATCAGAAAACGCGTTAAAGACACCAGTCAATCTCACTGTAACGAAGAAAGGATCTCGTGATGAAGGTGAACTTGCTATAGTAAACTAGTAGTAATTATTATTATCATTATTATGAGTAAAAACGCTTAACAGTTTGATTATTTTCACCATGAGCATATAGGATAGGATGTTGTTGAAGCAAAGATTATCATGCAAAATTTCAATGCACTGAAAACCAGACATTTAACTAGTCAAAGACAATGATTTAAAGATTAACGATTAGAACATGAATAAAATATTTCATTGAACTGGAAATAATGAAATATTACCAGTTTATTAGTTCAATTGGGTGAACGGACCTGATTTTCATCATCCAAGCAAGCACAGCATTTTCAAGTTTCAACACACTTTTCCGTGAAATTCACGTGTTGGCCATTATGCTCATATTTCAATCACTTGATCTCCCAGAGGCTTAAGATTTCGCAGTGCACACATTATTGCAGAGAGTAACAATCTAAGCCTGAGGTTGCTAAAACTGATAATAGCAACAATCAAACAGCAAGTAATGGTGTTCAAATGAAGGATCTTAGCCACAAATTTACCTGATGAACAAATGGTTAGTTGATTATATACATATACATAAACCAAGCGAATTGCTTACAGCTACCTAGTCAAATAAAAAGAACAAAAAAAGCCACATTTTTTCTTTTTCTGTGATCATATTCATACACAACATATACTACACGACATTTAACAAGAACACATCAGGTTCAAAAATATGTCAACACAGAAAATCAAAATCCAGCTAGCTATCAGCTCCGTATTCCATTCTCGTTACCTTCTGTGTCATCTTCATCCGTGGGAAGTTAAAAAGCAGGGTAGGTAGTGTTAGCAGTAAGAGTGAGAAGTCAAGAAAGATCAGTTGTACACACGTGTTATCAGGCGGCAGCTGGCAGTCCGAACACGACAGAGTTGTAATATATGTGTTCTCAAGGTACAATCCCTGACCTGTTAGTATAGTGTAATAAACCAGGGAAAAAAAAAGCTATGAGAAAATTGAAAGTGGATTAATGAGGAATTAAGACTAAATTGTCATTGCCATACATCCTTTTTTTTGGGATAAGAAATAATATTTATTTACAGAACACAGTACAAACATTACTACAAGATGAAATGTAGTATTTAAATACTACTTCCGTTTTAAAAGTAACTTCCATTTATGGCCATGCACACATATTACGAAAATTACCAAATAACTTGGACTCTGGCGAAATCTGATGATATTTGAATAAAATATCCTTACAGAAGCAAGTTATTTCTAAGGTGGCACTTGGACTTCATTTACCATTATTTTTTTTATCTTGCTTGATAAGGAACATTATTTTCATTAGTGAAGGCTAAAATGGTACAAGAATGAACAAGTAATGTTTCAATGAAATTATAAAACGACAATTATTTTGAAATTAAACTAAAACTCTAAAATGAAAGTTATTTTAAAACGGAAGGAGTATAATTCAAAACATCATTTCTAATGATTGTAGTTGCAAGATACATAATGGACGAGAGAGCACCGGCTTTGATGTTTTGGTGTTTCATAGATGAGAGAGCTTTGATAAAGACAGATTACCTGCATAGATTCTAAAGATGACAAAAAATCCTTGCATTGTTCAAGCAGAAGCCTTTCTTTTGCAGTCACCTTTACAAGTTCTGCCATCAGGGTGTTAGTTTCTTCCACCTGTTAGAAGCAAATGATTTTAGAAATACCAATGTAGGAGATAATATTTGTTGGGGTAACACAAAACAGTAAATTAAATTTAAAGACATCTATTTGGCCGAAAAAAACCTGAAGACATCTAACCAATTCCCACTTTTGAGTCTTCTGAAAAATGTTCACTCCTCAATTCCTTTAGAACTAAGTGAAGATTCTCAGGATGTTGCTTGGTGTTTTGCGTCATTGGTTTATTACCATTTTAGTGATAAAGCAAAACAATCCTCTTGGTGGCTGTGCAAATAAATAACACACAAGCACCAAAGCTTTGATTCCAGCTACTTTTATTAGGATCCAAGGGATTGTTCAAGGGACTATACATCAATCATTTTTAAAACTAAAGTATGTATTTTGAACATTCAATATGCACTATCTAAAAGCAAGAACTTAAAAACAGGAAAAACACACACACACACACACACACACACACACAATGGGGCATGTCATCCACAGTCAATACCTTGTGGACTGTACAGCATGAATGCTAATAGCATTGAAGAATTCCGGAGGTCACTCCTTTTCTCCTTATTAAATAACTCCCAGAGGCCAAACATGAAATAGGATTCCCTTTCATTTCTCCCCTTATCTTCCATTCTCACAATCATGCATATTATCACACACCTTTTTTTTGGGTTTTATCAAATCATTCAGTCTAATGTTAATATCTTGTAATCATGACATTATATGCCATTTTCTTTTCCTGTCAGCATAACCACTGACCCACTAAATTGGTCATTTTCTAGGTATGAATAGTCAGTTTTTAAGCAAGCCATCCAGTTTACTGATGGATCAACAATAACAACGTTAGGTCACCCAAGCAAAGTTTGGCCAAAAGTGACATTAATAACGTAACAGCTGAGTCAGACATAATAAGAAGCTTAATGGACTTGGAATGAGTGAGAAGGATTTGACAACAGCTGATTTTATCATTGATGATCAACCACTGTGCACTCAAAAAGATTTGATTTTCCCAGGTGTGCAGGTGGTTAGCATAAAATTTTACCACATACATCATCAAAACTCCAGCTTGAATTGCTCTCTATGTGAACCAAACATCTAATGTAACAAACGTCATTAAGGCTAGAAATTTTCAAAGTTGTATAGTGCATATAAAAAACAACCAAAACACCTATTTGAGCTCCCTATTTACAAATTATACAGCAATAAAAGACACTTGGAAAATTATTGCACTTCAGGAAATGCTTTGCTAATTTAAAGAAAGCTGATGCTGAATTATACCAATGGCCTTTGGGTTAAGTGGTAAGGGACTCAACAACCCTCAAGCAAAATCTCATGTCCAAGTATTGTGGATGGAAAAAATAACAATATTGGAAGAAGTCCCTCTCAATTGGACCCGACCCAACTTGAATATAGATTATTCGATAGTACCTGAATACTAGACAGTTTGTTAACAACCCCTCCCCCCCTAAAAAAAAAGAATAATGAAAGGAAAGAGAGACAGAAAGCTGAATTATGTAATCTAAATGTGCATCTAATTGCAGCAGAACCATGACCACTAGTTCCACCTTTCATATTAAGTAGGCAACTAGATGGTATAGTTAAAGATCAGTGAGGATCAAAATTCCTCAGTTCATAATTAATTAATTTTGACAAACTTAACAGATAACAGAATTAATCCTTTGAATGGATTTAAGATGATTATTTGGAGAAACAAACTTAATGGAACCTCTAACTCTGATATCATTCATGAAGCTGAACTAAAGCTTCCTTTACTTGAACAGAGGAGAAAGGAAGGCATAAAAGAGGAGAAAATGTATCCAACTCCTAGATTTTAAGAGGACAGGCTCCCTCCACCCTGAACATTCTCTCTCCACTCATGCACTACATGGCAAAAGTGGCTGTCCCTTGATAGGTGCTCTTGTGTCCTTCCGCTACCTCACACAATCTCCTTTTGGGCCTCATTTTCTTTTTCCTTAAGTAGACTTTAACCACATTTAGCATCTCTCTAGGCCATATTTCTCTTCATTGCATAGCTTTGCCTCTGATACTGCGGAGTCTGTCAAAACTCCACTACCAAGATGAAAAAGTGACAAGGGTCAAGGAGAAGGTAATAGCTACTAGATTGCAAGGTTTATCGTTATGTTCTGAAAAAATTAAGTGCAATCATTTTTATATCATATAATAGTCTTTGTTAACATTTACAAACAAATATTATGATGCTGTCGAGATAAAATGAAATTAAGACTGACTTTGTTTGGCTTGATAAATAGGAGGCAACGATCGAACCAACCAACTGAAGCATGACTTTTAGACAAGTATGACATCTTTAGAGTTTGGTACACTACTGCGGGGACTTAAATATCTATTTGATTATTGACCCAATCCAATGTATATTAGAACATTTTAATCGGAACAATGCACCACATCAAATGTATTGAGATGGCATCAATAAATTGCTTTTCCGGATTTCTAACTTTCACATGACTTATACCTAAGTCCCAACTAAAACAAAAGGAAGCACTTACAATACAAAATCAGCTTTGCCATAACCTGATTTCCACATCTTAGATTGACAATTGATAGAAACACATGCCCTGTACTGAAGGAGCACATTAGGAAGAAAAGGCGAAGAAAAGAAACTAAGTTTACCTTCGATGAAAGAGAATAAATTGAGGATGACATTGCTTGCATGACATCAACTGCTGTCCCCACAGCATCCTTCAGATTTGGTACATCGGCCTACAAAGAATAACATTATGCGATTATTAAAGACAATTGTGAAATGGTGATGAGTATTTAAAATAAAAAGCAATAGCACATACTATTGCTTTTTCAACAACAGGAAGACGGAGGGTGCTGGCCTTCAAAGCTTCAGTTGCTCCAAGCAAAGAACTGGAGTGTTCTCTTTCAAGAAGGGCCCACTCTTCCAAATAAGGAATCTATAGGACCAAGCACAACAAACTTCACTTATGACAAACAATAATGATAGTTAATCAGCAGTCTATCAAAAGCATTGGCGAATATTAAGTTTCATGTAAATATTGAATAATAATCCTTTTAACAGAAACAGCAGCTAGCATTGCAAGAGCTACATGCGTGTAGTTGGCTGAAAATATCATCAAACACTGTACTTTGTACTAAGGTGACAAATTAATAGAAACATTTGCTGTCATTTTCAACAGACCCAGTGGTGCAGAAGTATCTTTTAAATTTATCATGCGTATCACTTTTCAAGAGCTACATGTACGAAACTAGGTTGCACAAACCCAATTGGCCTGACCAAAATCAAGCCAAGTTGGACAGGGCAAAACCCAACTAGGCTGGCTCAGATCAGTTCCCTCATTAAAAAAAAAAAAATTACGGACACGTGAAAATTTTAATTTCCTTTTCTTTGGAAAAATATATTTTTATGCAGACTTATATGAATTTTTTCTCAAAGGTCATTTCATAATTTTTAACAAAATATTTGTTTTTTTCCTTAAAAAAGGCCAAGGCAGCAGAGGGAATGCTGGCATGGGCTCTGGGCTTCAACTCTTAAACCTGGTTTAAAAACAACCCTAATTACACGAGAAGTAATCATTTGCAATCAAAACCTCTGAATCTTACTTGTCCCTTCAGGATGGAAGTTAGCTTCAACTTTTGCCTCAGCAATAGTAACTTGATTCGTTTAAGTATGACTGCATGCCGAAGTTCTGATATTGTTACCCATGCATTCCATAAATGCCTCTGACACAATAAAATATAAAGGCTAGTGAACATTAGTACCATTGTTGTCAGCAAAAGAAAAAAAAAAGCAGCCATTTTCAATTTAAACATCTTAGGAATTCATATATTTCGATGCGGAACTACAAAACTAACTGCAGAGAAAACTAATAAAGAGTTACTGCCTCAATGATAAAAGCTTCACTTAAGAGATTGTCAAAATAAATCAGACACCAGAAAACCATAAATGATATCATCAAATGTCAAAAAGATTTCTGGACTCGTCAGAAGATATGAAGAGCTCAAACTGTGTCATGTAAACATAGTTGTCAAGAACCACTTCAACCAGAAAGTTTAAAATGTTAGGTGAAGTTCCACAATTGGCTTTATTAATATCAATAGCGTGCCCTCTCACATGACAGCCCTTCAAGCATGAAATGCAAACAAAGCACAAGACTGCCAAATCTTGTGTCGTAACTTATTTTTATTGTCGGAATGTTCAGGCAACCAAAAAAAAGCAGAAAATGAGAGTGACTAGGATCAAGCGCCTAACAGCTTGGTCATAGAGGCTTTGATATCATCTCAAAGGACCATTCCACCCTTAATAAGAGTTTGGATCCCACAAAGTAAGGAAAGGGGCCAAGTAGAGATAGAGAGAATGAGGTGGGCCCATCTTTCATAGGACTCGCATGGCAGAAGTGGGACCAACCTCTTTTGCTCTCTCTATCTCTCTCCCTCCACTTCACTCTTTTACTTCATACCCTCTTATTTGAGGGGTTCCAATCTCCCTAAACAAGCCCAAACTGCTAAGTGAAGGTCCATGATTAACTTCATTATACTCTAACTATGGTCAAGATGATTGACACGTATAATGGTGAACGTGACAACTATATCATTGAACCCAATAAAACTCATGACTTCATGAGCATTAAAAATGGGCTCAAAGAAGAAGGTCCTTTACATTATCGTTACAAAATTATTGGAAGACTATTCAACAAAGTAAGTTGAATACAATCTGTATCTGGAAAATGATCAGAGTAAATGTCTTCATACAACTACTTGCTATAGAAAGCATACTCATTAGGTCACTGCCAATGACTATTTTCTTTGTCACTGCAAACAAAAAAGCATCAGCGCTTGTTTGTGTAGAATACTTTTAGATTCCAACCTAACTACAACTCTAAAAAGGTAGAAGCAACGGGCGTGTTTTCTAATTCAAAGAACCCCATGAATGACCATCAGATAAGTTTCTCATAGCCATTTGACCTTTAGAACAAGAAAAAAGACTAGAGAACTCCACTCTACACCTTCCTTTAACGGATTTGCCTTCATTTGTAAATAGAACAAACTATGCACAGCTAGAAAATAGTGACCATCCAATGTAGTTACCAGAAAGAAAATCAGGACGTGTAATACCCTCTAAAATTTCCCGACCTTGATAATAAATCAAGAAACCAATATGAGATTAAACATGCTAATCAATCCAAAATCTAGGACAAAAGTACTTCAAGCAAGACCTTTAAACACTCGCTCAAGGCTAGCCTCCAAAACTAACAGCATAGGTTGGCACATAATCACTCTCTAAACCAAAATATCTAACACAGGTTTATGAATAACAGTTTAACAATCCGTTCTTTAGTAAATATTCTAGAATGATATAACTATGATGAGTGATGACAACCCAAATCAGTCTAAATCGTTCCAGAGAATAGGGCATATAAGCAACCAACATGACACAGGAAGAAGAATCAATCTGAGATATTTATATTTATCACAAGCACCTAAAACCATAGTAAGCAAATAGAGCTTGACTGGAGCCATGATAAACATACCTCCGCATTTAGTTTCTGCACCATAAAGGTAGCATCTGCCCTTGCATTGGCAAACCGCCACTGCACATATCGGTTATACAGAATCCGTAAAGAGTGTGCATCAAATATTCGATCCTCCCCTATCTTTCCCCTCCGGATATCAACTGAAAAACTAAGAATTGAAGGTGGATTTGAAGAATTACTATTGATGGAGCTGGCAACTGCACTTCTCACCCGAGATGGACTAGAGATTCCCCTTGATGGTGATGAGACTGTAGATGCCCACGGTCTACTTGGAGATGCAGGACGAGCAGTTCCCCTAATTGGGGAAGCCATAGTTCGGGGGGATGATAGCGGGCCATCACTAGTGAACTTCTTGGATTGAATAACCTTTGAAGGAGCTGCCACTCTTGAGGCAGGGCTTGTTGATAATGGTGAACCAGGATCCTGCAAACGGCGCAGCCGACTATTAGTCTCTTGCCAAAACCTCGCAGACACAGCAATGCCACGAGGTCGACCCTTGCCAGCTCCAACACAATCTTGTGCTCCTGAAGTGCTACCAGAGGAAACACTGTCTGTATCGGATGCAGTGAGATCAGAAGGCAACGAAGAATCATTTGCTGAATTTACATCTGAGCTCCGCTGAGCATCCTTCAATGACTCATCTTTACCTAAATCCAAACTCAATCGCCCATCAAAAGATGCCCTTCTACCATCACCAATCATTGATTGCTGCAACGCCCGTACCACTTTTCCAAACCCGTTTCCAACAAGCTTCTTATCACCACTGAAATCCATGCTCCTTGACAAGTGATTGGAACTCGAATTTGACTGCCGGGCCCGAGCCGGCCATCGATGTTGCTCCATGGGTCTCGAGTTCTCGACTTGATCTCCTCCTCCATCAATCTTACCTCTAACTGCAGGCGACCTCCGCCGCTCTGGCGTTGCCGGCTTCCTGGCATTACTCGAAGTGGGTGTCGCTGCCTTTGTCTTACTAATCGGAAGCGAAAACGCCTCCCCTTGGAAGGAAACCGACAAGCTCCGCGTAGAAGTGACCAGAAGCTTCGTAGCCACCGACACATCACCGGAATTACCTTGCCGTAGGAGAGGCGTTATAGGCCTTGTCGGAGTCGCCGGTCGCCTACGGTCCACTGATTGGGACCGCTTGGGCACCGTAGAGGGTAAAGGGGTCGATGAGGGTGTGGAATTGATGGAACGTGATAGGAGGGGAGAGGGGCATCTCCTAGATGAAGACGAAGAAGAGGTTGAAGTGGAAGTAGAAGTCGATGGAGAAGGAGACATGTACCTGGAAGAAACCTGCCTACCCTTGGGTCTTCTCGGAAGAGTCCCATTGTCTTTCTCTGAAGGTAATAGTGGAGGCCTCGATGGGTTTTGGTGGGTCGAGGAAGCCTTGGTGCTCAGTGGGCCAGTCGAAGCTGCTTCAGAAATGGCAGCCACCATTATAAGACTCTGAAATTTCCACACATTGCCTCTAATCTTAAAGGTTTCATTCCCGAACCCCACGTTTATCCATGGCTGATTGTGCGTGCAGAAGATCAAGAAATTGTCCTATGTTAGGGGGATTTCAGAAATGGGCGTGCACAAGATTCAGCATTTCAGGGGAACGGAACAGCTGAGAAGAAGAAAGTAGTGCTGGGTGTGGATTTAAGAGAGAAAGCGAGAGTAGGTAAACGAGATTTGAGAGCGCAAAGTGTTTCACAGGCGAGGCGAGCTTTTGGTTTTTGTGAATCTTTCGAGAGACGTTATGTTAATATAATGACAGTTTATTTCTCGCAAACTTTTCTCTTCATAATCTTACACATATACGACGTACGTAATGTTGTAATTAAATATTTTTTTGGCGTAAATTTCTAACAACTTCGTTCTTTTTTTGGCTAAATTTATGGTGTAAAAATATTGATAAATTTTATAAAAATATATTAAAACCAAATAATAATGATTACTTCTTAATAGTTAAATTGATAGAAAGACTTGAGGTTGATCTTTTAAAAATCTAAGACCATTTCCTATATTAAAAATGTTCACATCGCACGAGCGAAATTGTAAACTTAAATATATTTTTTTAAAATTATAAAATACTTTTAAAAAAAAATTATTTCAAAATATAAGATATTTTAGATAGATTAAAGTTTTATTAAATACATCAATTTTAATATTATTTTTTTTCTTTTTATGATTAATTTTTATTTCTTTTCTTTTCAATATATTAAATGATAGATATTTTTAAAAGTTTATGTTTTTATTTTAAAAAAATAAAGTTGTTAAGTGTATTTAATGAGATTTATTGATATATAAAATTTTATTTAAAAATATTTTACAATTTAAAATGAAGAAAGTAATATTTTTCTTAAATATAATTGGAAAAAAAATTCTATCATTGAACTAACATAAATAAACAAAATAAGAAGTTTCATCAATTGGTGATATACACGCTTTTTAAAGATAAAATTATCTAAAGTGAACTTAATTTAGGAAACTAGTGCAAAAGCAAGTAAATCGCAATTCATATATCTTTTTTTTCTTTTTGGGACAAATACTTCATATCAATGAGTTTTCATACTTGTCAAACTTTAGTGCAAGCCTGGATTCCGCTTTTGCAAGTTAGAAGAATTTTTAAAAACTAACATGAGAAATTAAAGTTCAAATTCATCCACGTACGCACATTTTATTAATATTTAATGATATTTTGAATAGGATTGGTTCAAACAAAAAAATATATGTACATAATAAAAAAGAATTTTTAAAAAATACAAAATTTGTCAATGACAATGGGGACAATTAATAATAATTTGGCACATAACTCGTGAGATCATGAGTTTAAATCCGACTGTCTATTTTGTTAATATAATAACTTTATTGGTCAACAATATATAAATACTTTTATAAGTATCTTTTTGAATTTAAAGGCAATATTTAATCTTGATGGTTTTTCAATCCAACTCACCAAAAACTTTTTGTTTTGTGTGTGGGTAAAAGAAGGAATAAAAGGTAAATGCACTTGTAAATTATAGGTTTATAAACATCTAAAATCCTAAACTCATTTTTAATATAATATTTTTTTAATTTTTAAAAATGGTACAATATGACCCATACTAATAATAAATGTTAATTTTGATTATTAATTGATAAAAAAATTACAAAATAAGACTTCAAAAATTAAAAAAATAACAAAAACATTAAAGAAAAAGGATCTAAATATTATAGACAATGATAAAAAAATTACAAAAAATATCAAGAAAATCATATAATCTTTAGTTGCTTTTTTTATAATTTTTTAACTAACTAACAATTAAAATTAATATTTATTAACAACAGGGGCAATATCACATCGTTCTAAAATCTGGATATGAAATATTTCACCAAAAAATAAGTTAAGGATCTGAAATATTTTAAAATTTATAATTTATGCATAAATTTGTCATTTAATTAAAAAAAAATACGAACTTTGACTCCAATAGATGTCTAGCTACTTTTAAAATTCAATTCGCAAAACAAAAAATACACATGAAAAGTCAATTTTGTAAACCAAACATGATGTTATAGCTCCACTTTTTCGTGCTTCCTCTGCTCCTTACTATTCAATCACATGAATCCACCACCTGCAGACATTGTGTATACATGCTGTAAACAAACGTGGGATTAAAATAAATTAAAATTTTGGAGCCGTGGAGATGGCTGTGTCCGTGTCATGTGAGACGTTAGCGCGAAATTTATATTATTAGAAAATTGATGTGCGTTTGGAAATAGGGTGTAGTGTAGTATATTAGTGTTGTTGTATGTATGGGATTTTATGAACAAGAACGATTCAATGACTGAGTAATCGCACCACAATCTACAGCGACGTTCCTACTTTCACGTGTGCAAATTTAATGATAAAAGGTTTCTAATATTATGAAATTCCTCAATATTCAAGCGAGATATATTTTTAATAAAAAAATGATAACATTCATGGTCTAACATTTTTTTCGTTGAAAGTAAAATTAAACAAATACAGTAAAATACATCAGGATTGAATAAAATAATTGACTAATGTCAAAAAGGAAAGATAAGGCGTGAAAAGTGACGTGCGAAATTAATTATTAATTAATACGTGAAAGAGTGTAGAATAATGTGGGTATAATTGTAGAGAGGATTTGGCAGAATGGAATGGCGTGAGATAGATGGATTACTTGAAAGGGAAAGAGATTAATGAGCTAACACATACAACGTGTACGTTAATTAATTATTAAATGAAATGAATTCAGATGAAAATGGATCTAATTAAAGCTATTATTATTACTTCATAAAACCCAAAAAAAAATAAGGGGGGAAAAAGAAGGAGGTGGTTGATGATGATGATGCAATGAGTGAAATAAGCCTAAAAAGCTGAGACATAATCAAGCCAATGCCCCCATTTGTTGCCTAATTGTTTATTTTTGCAAGCTAAGCTAAGTTTTTTGTACTCTAATACGTTAATTTAATTACGATTACTATTGTTATTACGTATTTAATATTAAGATGCCACATCTCTTTCCGTCGGTCCCTCTCTGGTTATTGCACCATTTCAACGCTTCTTTTGTTTCTTAACTTATTCCTCTTCTTCTCCATTCTTTATGGTTCTTTCTCCAACCTTTGCCTGATCTTCTTTAGCTTCCACTTTATTTTCCTCTTCTTTTTACTTTATTTTTTTAGCAAACATTTTCTTTTTCTTTCTTACATGACCATCTGGTTGGGTTAAATTGTATTCCACATTGTCGAATCTAACAAGTCCAAAGCATTTTTTTGTATTTACATAAATTCAAATTCGGGGCATCATATATGAGCAATCATGGTCCATTCCACTATAACAAATGCCTATTGATATATTTTCCTCCTCTTCTTTTCGTTTCTTTTAATTTATAGATAAAAATGGTGGCAAATTCTATAAAGAGAGGAATGGTGTTGTTTACCCATTATTTAATAACCTCAAACAAAATATTTTATTGCAGGCCTTGTGTATGGCATGGATAAATTTGACACGGAACAAGAAATTGCATTTACTATGTTCTCATTATACAAAAAATATGATATCTATATATTCCCTCCGTACTAAATTATAGAATACTTTTGAAGGAGTTTTTTCATCATAAAATATAAAATACTTTGAATAAATTAAGGTTTCATTACCTTTTTAATATTACCTTTTTCTCTCTATAATTAATTTTCATCCATTTTCTTTTTAATATATTAAATAATGTATATTTTTAAAATTTTATATTTTTATTTTAAAAAAATAAGGTTGTTAAGTGTATTTAATGAGATTTATTGGTATGTAAGATTTTATCTAAAAGTGTCTTATAATTTAAAATAAAAGGAGTAATATATAATTATGGAAAAAGACTCCTGAATATTAAAATTTACACACATAGTTTGGCTCAATACTTTTTTTAAAAAAATTGAAATGAACAATAAATTTTATCATAAAACTACAATATATCAAACTATTCTGTTAACAAAATGACAATTATTATTATTTATTATATAAAAATAGTTTTATTTTGTTTTTAAATAAAGAGTAAAGCAACAGATCATCACCATCGTCTTGCATTTGAAAAATTATTTTATATTTATTTTAAATATTAATGAATCAAACACTTGCGAAAAGGCTAATAGTTTGAATTCTCTCGCTCTCTCTCTATATATATATATTAATGTATATACAAAGTAAAAGTAATATTCCTCCCGTCCCAAATTATAGAGCATTTTTAAAAGAGTTTTTCTGTTTTAAAATATAAGATACTTTAAGTATATCAAAGTTTTATTAAATATACTAATTTTAAATTTATTCTTTTTCTTTATATAATTAATTTTTATTCTTTCTCTTTTCAATATATTAAATGATGGACATTTTTTAAAATTTATATTTTGTTTTATAAATATAAGGTTGTTAAGTGTATTTATTGAAGTTTGTGTGAGATTTTATTTAAAAATATCTTATAATTTAAAACAGAGAGAGTAGTAAAAAAATAGTTTTAATCATATCCATAAACATGCATTATAAAATGACCTTATCTAATAATTTGGAGGGCTCGATGTGCACAACTGCACATGGTGGTTGCAAAACCAATGTACGTCCATATAAGTTTGGAAGATGAGCTTTGGATCGAACTCAAGGTATATTAATGAACAAATAAGCAAAATTATCAGCGTCTACTGTTCGTTATAGATAACATAAAAACTTTACCAAGTAAAATAATTTATCATCCTAAATAATATAAATGTTCAGTTGTTTATAACCACATGGCCATTAGCTTAATCTAAAAGCCCTCTAAACTTTAAGGCTCCATTGATAGAACAATAATCTAATATTAATAATATTCAAGTATATATATCCTATAGGGGATACAGCGTCCAATTCCATTTTTTTTTTTGGCCAAACAAAATTATATTTATGAGATGCGAAACCGTGATTTTATTCTTCAATTTAATTATGTGAAAGGTGTGTGCTTGTCAATGTGAAAATCACTTTGACAATAAAATTAATCACGTGAGCAGTAAAACCAGGTGGTCCTAAAAGGACAAAAATTATAAAAAATTTGAGGTTGATTAAAGTCTTATCATTCAGGCAGTTATGATTATTAGTTAGATAATAAGCCACTTCAACTACTTGATGAATAAAGATTTTCTAAAGGAAAAACATATAGCTATGCAAATAGAAAGATCAAAGAATGTTGCCGGCTCTTGGAGCCTGTTTGGTACAAAATGAAAACTTG